ATTTATTAATAGCCAAATCAGATGTCATTAATGCCTTCATAAATTTTAAAGCTCTTGTTGAGAATCAGTTTTGTAAAAAGATCAAGTTCTTGCAAAGTGATGGGGGAGGCGAGTATCAAGCTTTAGCTAAGTTACTTCAAGAAAATGGTATTATTCACAGGATCCCATGTGCTTACACTCCTCAACAAAATGGCTTGGCTGAAAGAAAGCAAAGGGATATTGTCAACATGGGTCTTTCTCTCTTAGCACATTCTCGTCTACCTTTATGCTATTGGGGTGATGCTTTTATTACAGTAACTTACCTGTTGAACTGAGTTCCTAGCAGACCACTGAAATTTAAATCTCCTCTTGAAGTTCTCTATGGGCATAAACCTGATTACAAAAGGTTGAAGGTTTTTGGATGCCTATGTTATCCTCATATCAGGCCTTATAATAAGCATAAGATGGAATATAGGTCTTGTGCAGGTACCTTTTTGGGTTATAGCAACCAATACAAAGGGTACAAGGTGCTCTTACCAAACAGAAAGGTGATCATCACCAGAGATGTGCTCTTTGATGAAGGGAAGTTTCCTTATACAGACAAAGGGAATATTCAGGAGAATCAATCCAACATTGACAAAGTCTGCAATCTTCCAGGGATTCCTACTCTAATCAAAGATAATGAAAAAATTGAGCTGCAGTCAAAGAACCTTACTCAAGACACAAATTCAGAATCAAACACACCACCAAGAGTGTCAAGTGAAAGCAGAAGTTGATCCTCTCATTGAAGCACTAGCTCAAGCAGTAGTCTACCAGCTATACCTCTTGTGGTGCAGCTACCTCAAATTGAAAGAACTTCTGAGGACAGAAGCAAGCATGAAAAAACAAGAAAGCACCATATGGTTACAAGAGCTAGAGCAGGCATATACAAGCCAAAGGCCTACCTTGTTCAAGAAAAAGGAGAAGAAGTGGAGCCAAGGTCTTTAAATGAAGCACTGTCATCAAAGAAATGGAAAATGGCAATGCATGAAGAGATAGCTGCCTTGGAAAAGAACAAAACTTGGAACTTGGTCATAGCTCCTGAAGAGAAAAATATTGTAGGATGCAAGTGGGTCTTCAAAGTCAAAAGAAGATCAGATGGAAGTATATTAAAGCATAAAGCCAGACTTGTGGCCCAAGGATACACACAAAGACCAGGTTTTGACTTTTCTGAGACCTTCAGTCCTGTTGTTAAGCATAATACCATAAGGATAATGCTGACTTTGGCTATACAACATGGATGGAATGTAAGGCAGCTAGATGTGAGCAATGCCTTTCTCAATGGAGACCTCAATGAAGCCATTTACATGAAGCAACCTCCTGGCTTTGAAAATGAAGGAAAAGAGCACTTGGTCTGCAAATTGTCTAAGGCTTTATATGGTCAGAAGCAGGCATCCAGAGCATGGTTTAGTAGAGTCAAAGACGCTCTGAAATTGATGGGATTTAAGGACTCTAAGGTTGATATCTCTTTTCTACAAAACTAATCATGATGGCTTCCTATTTGTCTTAATATATGTTGATGATATACTTGTTACAGGAACTCACACCACTGAGATAGAGGACTTTGTCAAGGCTTTTGGAAAAATGTTTGCTATAAAAGACTTAGGAGGGATAGAGCAATTCCTTGGAGTTCAGATAGTTAAGACAGCTGAGGGCTTACACCTCAGCCAAAGAAGTTACATTTTGGAATTGTTGAAGAAAATGAAGATGCAGGATGCTAAGGGAGTTCCAACCTCTATGATCTCATCCCTTCACTTGTCCAAGCAAGATGGAAATCCTACTGTTGATGGGACCTTATACAGAAGTGCAGTGGGAGCACTGCAATATATAATCTTAACCAGACCAGAAATCAGTTATGCTGTGAATAAAGTAAGCCAATATATGTCTTGCCCCTTAGATACCCATTGGAAAGCTGTTAAGAGGATTATGAGATACCTAGCAGGGACAGTGGACCATGGCTTGCATTTCAAAAGGTCTGATCACCTCAACATCAAGGCTTTTTCAAACTCAGACTGGGGTGCAGACATTGATGATAGAAGGTCCACTACAGGCTATTGTGTTTTCCATGGAGAGAACCTGATTTCATGGTGTTCTAAAAAGCAGACTTCAGTGTCTAGGTCCAGCACTGAAGCCGAGTACATAAGCTTAGCACATGCATCTTCAGAGGTATCTTGGATTAACTCTTTACTTGCAGAAATAGGATTCAAATTGACAAAAATTCTTGTGGTGTGGGTAGATAATCAAAGTGCAGTCTTTTTAGCATCAAATTCTATCATGTATGGGAGGACTAAACTTGTGGAACTTGATTTTCATTTTGTTAGAGAAAGAATTGAAAAGGGTCATCTTCTAGTCTGCCATATACCATCAGTAGAACAAATAGGAGATGTGTTTACCAAACCTTTGTCTTTGCAATTCTTCTCTCGGTTAAGAAATAAACTGAAAGTCACAAGTAAAACCTCGATTGAATTGAGGGGGAGTGTTAGCAGTTCTCATTATTTGGCAGATGATGTGGAGGATGACGTAGTACGGTCTACTTGGTCTACAAGCAACAAAATACAGTATGTGCATGAGGACAAGGAGCATTTATTGCCATGCAGCTTTAGTGGCTCACGAGAATCATCACTGCAGTTTGGTGAAATTGTAGCCATAGGATCAAGTTCAAAATGAGACACTTGTCTTCCTTATCTATCATTGATAGCTAGTATAAATAGTTAACTCTTCCTTATATTTCAAACCCTAAGTTATATGTGCACATTATTCAGCAGCCATTGCAAGAAAAATAAATGAAGTTATTTGCTTTCTCTTCTCGAGATTTATGAGTTTTTGTTCAAGTTTTCACTACTTTATTCCCATTCTCCTTCTCCGGTGTGTGTGGTTAGTTTTGTAGGAAATGTTGATCTTTTTGTGGGTAGGACTTAGGTTTCCCTATGTATCATTATCATTTCTTAGATATCCATACTTTCTAAGAATATTGTGGCTCGAAAATATTGGAGACATAATTAATTATCCTATTAAGCTAAGTCTATATTTAATAGTCAAACAAATCTGAAAACATTAATCTTAATATTTTGATGAACATACCAGATCCAAAGTAAACTCTATATAAATTAGTCATCTATCCTCTAATTAGGGTACCCAACTACCAAAGTTACACGGAGCAAGGAAATTCAAGGAGATATAAGGATTTGTCCATTTTTTATTTTATAGAAACAATTAGCTAGCAAAGAAAATAAGGTGGGCTAGGGACACATCGAATAGACTAGAATAGGTTGCGCATAATTTATACAGTGTAAAGTGGTGAAATCTCGGGCTTCCAGGCATAGTTTGATGCCCAGATTCCACATTGATAACTGCTGGAGAAATTTATCCGAGTGCTTTACAAGCTGTCTCCCATAATACAAAAGCTTTTTGCAATATAGTTTCATTTATATATATATAATATAATTCAGCTTAAAATACAAACCAATTAATATATTGAGTGGTTGTTTAAGTTTATCAAATATTCATCAAAGGTGTTTTAAATTAATTAGTGTTCAATTGATGGTTCATAATTTATCAACGAATTTTTTGTTAGCTTTTCACTTGACATTCAGCTCGTAGCTATATATGTATTTGTTATTTTTTTTTTCGGATGTATGTTATTTTTGTCCAATTTTTTCTGTCAATAGCACGACTTAATAATAATTTAGAGGGCTAATATATAGCTGTAAAAGAATCTGAGCAGAACATCGAAAGTAAAGAATATTATTATCTCATCATTGGATATCTGAACATATTTAACATATTATATTGTAAGTGATATCTAATTATCTATATTGTTATTTAGTTTGATTAAATCAAATGCATAGGTATATAACACTTAAGTTGAAATAGGATGTGAATTATTAAATTCGATATTTGTAAGTTATTCACATAAGACAGATGTGGAGTTTCATGGACCTTGCCTTATTATTGCAACTAGTTATGGACTATTTATGTGACTTAAATAGTTAAATGTAGGGTATGCATTTTATGAGCCGGCAAAGTAAATTGGCTACCCAGTTATACATTAAGAGACGTCGATTTGGCCTATTGATTTTCATGAAACAAATATAGATTAAAACGTTGTCAAATTATCGATCTTATAAATTATATATTAATTAATTCACAAAAAGTAAAACCAGAAATGATATTATAATGAACTGCCAAAGTTTTAGATCACATTCACTACAACAAAAAGTACTTCTAGCAACATAAATATGGTGACACTTTTTAAAAAGCGTTATAAAATTAAAATAATAACGACACTTTTTAAAAAATGTTACAAATATAAAATATTAACAACGTTTTCTTAAAAACTGTAACAAAATCATGTCACTTTAAAAAAAGGTGTCACAATGTTAATTATATTGTGACATTTATTTAAAGTTGTAACTAAATTACGACGTTTTGTACCGAATTGTCGTCGTAATTTCTTCTCTTCATCAACAATTCGCCTCCACAGTAGGGCATAAAATCAACCCTTATTTCACTTTTCTCTTCATCAACAATTCGCCTCCACCGTTCCACCTCTACCTCCACCGCAACACCGACGAGAAGAAGAACTCCGCCGCGTCCACCTCAGCCTCCTCACAACATGCTTCTCACAACGTGGTCTGCTTCCTCCTCGGCTCTCTCCACCCCCACACTCCACAGCCCCTTCTTCTCAGCGATCGCCACGGCATCTCTTCCTCGCTTGGTACCCACCTTTGTCCTGCCACACCACCCCACAGGCCCTGCTCACCGGCTCTCGACTCCAGAGGTAATATTTGGTTTTTGATTTGAGATTATGATTTATGAATAGCTTGACCATAACTTCAATTGAAATTGGGCATGTTCTTCACTAATTCATTTGATGAGGTTAATATCTTAATTTCTTCGATGTGCATTTGGCCTTTGTGTAACTGAAGTGAATTTCTTTGTTTATTTTATTTTATTTTTTATTATTATTCTTTTGTATTTTGATGATTCTGGTTTGGTTTGGTGTGTAAGTGAATTGAATTTTTTTGTTGTGTATTTGGCTTGCCTTTTGTTCTACAGTTAATGAACATGAGTCACTGAAAGAAACTTGACTTGGTTAAATAGATGGAACTATTTGCTAGAGCACATAGTCCTAGTCATTGTAGTTGTGGCATGTAGTAATTGATAATAACTAACTTCTGTATCAGCCAATTGAAAGAACTTTCAAATTATACTAACGAAAATATATGTATCAATAATGAAACGGAAGTGAAGTGTAATAATGCAATATAGCTTGGTGAATTGAAAGTAACATTGTTTTACTGCAAGTGATTCTGAAGTAGGTATTCAGCAAGAGAAATCAATATTTGCCGAAGATGGTGTTCTTATTGTGTTTTTTTTAATTGTATTGACTTTTTCAATATGATTTTGTAGATTGTTGCAGCAGGTGTTGATCCTAAGCAACAAAGTTTTCTCATTTGGTAAGTCTTGGATGCATAAATGTTTTGATGATTGCTTGTGTAAATTTCTTTTGTTAAATTTAAATGTATAGTTCATCTTGGTTCAACATAGTTCAAAGGCAGCACGACGTAGGAAAAGAAAGAGCCTAATGCAAAGCTCAAGGCATGTGCATCTTCTCGTCTTAGATTTAGTGATGTCAGGATCAATCAATGAGCCTCGAGACAAAGGCTGATGGTAACTTAAATAAATCTTGATATCTTTTGCCGCTATTTTTACTTGTCGTGTATTCAGTCATGTTGTTAAGACACATAAATTTAAATATATGAATGATGGTAGTGAATGTCTCTGCGTCCTAGATATGATCGGAAACAACTGCTTTGTTGTCATGCTGATGTTGGAAATTCTTGCCCTTTTTCTGAACTTTCACAATGAATGACAAGGACCTGACTTTCCTTAGCCTAAGTTTGTTCACAGTCTAGTAATTGCTTGGAGCCAAATCTTAGCAAACAATTGTTGTGTAAAATATTGAATTGACAAATCAGATTATGTTTCTAGTTATATTTTTCAAAGAAAATTGTTGTTATGTTTTGGACCATGGGATTATGCAGACATCCAATAAAAGAGAACATGTTTAACCTAGTGTTTATATAACTAGTTTCTATGTGAGAAATTGTGTGACTTGATCAGGTTTATATCTAGTCATGTGGATTCTTAAGTCAAAATTGTTGTACGTGAGAATTTGTATCCCACTTACCTTTCAAAGTTCTTAATGGCCCATTAAATACAACCTACACATGTGTACATGGATATTAATGTAATGATTGTATCTACAGATATATTGGTGCATACATATGGATTTGAAAGGAGAAATGTAGCTTAATTGTTTCTTTTTTGTATGTATGTTTGCAGGTATCAATCTATTATCAAGGAAGAAAGGATTGAGATTTCAAAGCCTGGTCTCGACCATGGTAAATCCAAGGTGCATCATCATATTACCATGCGACACCATAGATCAACAGTGCACATGTCAGAAGAAATAAAAAGGCACAACTCTAACTCAACTTTAGAAATATTATCCAGTTGAAATATTATCATCTGAATAATGATAAATTTTAATGATGTATATTCAAATGACCCTGATTTGAGTTGTTTTTTAGACTGTTATTAATTTCATAAACACAGAACGTACTATAGGGTAAGTGCAATATTGGATAATAATAATAATAGAACACTTTAGATATCGAGTATTATATTATCTTAAAGTAAATATTATGTTCTTTTAGTCTGTAGTCTTGATCTTATGTTATTTATGGTTTTTCAATTTAGGTATTTGACTTGGAAGAACCATACTTGCAAGCATAAATTGATGATATACGGAGATGGTGGACCAAGTATTTTATCGATATCACCTCATTGGCTAAGTAGAAGGCTATGTAGGCTTTTGTTTTCAGAATATTTGATGTATGTTGAATATTTGGTGTATGTTGAACTATTTGGTATTGTTAGACATTTCGGAAATGTTAATTTTACTTTTTTTTCAGTTACTTTCTAGTTTCTACATTGGTTTAACTAATGAATAATTTATTTATTTTTCTTTTACTTTTACTTTCTACATTGGTTTGGAAAATGGTATTTTTTTTTTTTTTAATTTTTCCTATCAAAATTTACATCAGTTGTAATAATGACGTATATAAGAAAGCGTCATGCATTGACAATTTACAACGCATTCATTTTGCGTCGCCAAAATTAGTAATAGTAACACATTTAAAAAAGCGTCATGTATTAAAAATTAGTGACGCTAATATCTTGAGTCATAAAATTCCGCAAAGGTGACACATTTGTAAAAAGCGTCGCGTATTGAAAATTACCTACGCACGAGTCTTGTGTCACGAATAAATTCGTGACATCAAATTTAACAACGCAACTCGTGACACTTTTTCAAGCGTAGGTAAAAATTTTGTGACACTAATAAATGTCACTAAACCAAAAAATAAGCGTTGCTAAATGTCATTTTTTTTGTAGTGATTTTAGGTTTGAACTTTGAACTATTATATAGAATGGTAACCAAAAGTAGGGGAAATGTAATTAACTACCACGACCCATGAAAGCATTAGCATGATAAATTCAAACAAATATATACTAGTACAACACACGTGAACTATATATATACGGGTGTTTCATAAAAAATTAATTGTCAAAAAAAAGTGAAAAAGATAAAATTCTTATTGTGAAATAAAAAACTATAAATAATTAATAAGAAAGTAATTTTTTAATATTATTTCAAATTCAAGAAAGTATATTATGAATTATTATTTGTTTTATTTAATATATATTTAGTTTTTTCAAAACTAAATAGAATAACTAATTTATTCGGCAGTTAATATAACGCGCGTGAACAAAACGTGCTGAAAAATTAAATATTTGTATATAAAATAAAGAAGTTAAGAAATTTATATTCTTATAATAGAATGATAAAAACTTCAATACACAACTAACAATTAAAAAAATAATTATTTAGAATAATATTTATATTTTATACTCGATTTGTCAAAATGATAATATTTTATACACACACATATACATACATATATATAACATAATTACAATATAAAAAATTAAAAAAAATAATTCAAAATTAGATTATTGAGTTGTAGATACCATATATAATGTTTATTAACTATAATGTGTATGAGTGTAATATTTTAAATTTTATGATGTATAATAATAATCTTTATTATTTTGATTATAATTTTTATTTAGTTATTTTTTTCAAGATCCTTATAATGTTCAATCTTTATGTAGTCTTTATGTAAGTTGAGACATAAACTTTTAAAATATTTATTTATATTAATTTGATGTTCATACTTAGTTTATATATTTATTTCCAAAGGAAATATCTATTTATGGTATATTAATACACATAAATATTTATTACTTTATAATATAATTTATAGTTTATTTGATGTCTTTTAATTTGGTTTGATAAATAAATTTAAATTTTATTTTTAAGGATATCGTGTTTTTTATTTTATACATATAATATGGATGCCAAATCGAAAATCGTTAAAATATAATAAATTTGATATATCACATATGAAAATTAAAGTACAAACAAAAAAGTTATAAAATTTTATAAGTAAGAAGAACAAATATTTATAATAATTGATGTATGAAATAAATAAGAAAATAAAATATAATATATGGTAATGTAGGAAAAGAAAACAAAAAAAAATACTTTATGGTAACAAATTATAAGGAAAAAAGGAAAAAATCAATCATGGACTTAATATGAATAATATAAACATTAAATGAAATCCAAGTCTAATTATTTTCAGATAAAAATATTAATTGACATCCAAGCCTAACTCTAAAGCATGATGTTTTGAAAAATATGATTCCGAAGCGTGAGAGTCTGTCACTTAGCCTCAACGTATTTTGAAATTATATATAAGGGGATATAGACGAGATCACAGAAGAATGGTAGATAGTAAAGAAAATAAGAATAAATCTGCACTACCAAATCTATCATATCAATGGTCATTATGAAGTCAAATTTTAGTACATAATGATCAAACAGTCAGTGGCAATATCGTAAACAAACATACATATCGAGGTCAATTGCATATTTCTACCACTTAATAAAGGCATTTTGGTCATTACATAGTCATTCATTATCCACTCAACGTGGGCCCCACCAATCCCAACAACCTTCCTCTCTCTCACACACAAACATGCACTATCAATTCACACACACACACACACACACAGAATACACGAACACACACAATCACACGCTCAGATCCGCCGGTTGCTGTCGTCGGTCACTGCCTTCCCTCGGTTGGTGTTGTCGGCCGCCTTCATACCACCCGCATCTCGCCTCCTTCTGTCGGTTGGTGTCGATGGCCACTAAGAGCATCTTAAAGGTGGCCAAATTTGGCACCGACAGCACAAATTTCTCCACTAAACAACCAACGAAGACTAGAAACCACAGGGAACCCAGGCAAACAA